TTTGCTCCGGGGGGGGGGGCACTTGGCTTTCCCCGGGGGGGCACTGCCCCCCTGGAGATATAGCTGAAAGAACCCCCCCCCCAAAAAAAAACCAGAGTTGAGCATGGGGCGAGTGCCCCCCTTCACCCCCACCCCTTCTCACGGGTGTGGGGTGTGTCGTATTGCTAGGGGGACCCAGTGCATTGCTGTCCCCAGGGCCTCCTGTGTTGTTAAGACGGCCCTGCACTTGGGACCATCAAGTTACTAGAGCACACGATTCCAGCTCATGGGAGGTGATCTGCGAAGGGATTTGTTTGGTGACCTCGTCTGAAACAATAGACAATAAGCCTAGTCTAAGAAAAATAGTGAGTTTTTAAGTTTTATTTTTGTCTTAAAGTTTGAGTTAGAGTTTCATTCATGACATCAATTATGTCATCAAATATGACATCAAATATGTTGTTAATTAAAATACTGAAAAAAACTAGTTCTAGTATATATATGTATATATACATATATATATTTCATTTCCATGAATTTACCCGATTTCAAAGCATTATTTTTTTCAATATATCGGGGTCACTTTGAAAGGGGTCACTTTGCTCAAATATAAACTTAGTCGTGCCTTGAGAACACTTGAGACAGTGGCTTCCAAATGTTTAATGTTGGCGACACACTTTTTAGATATTCATCATTTAGTGACACACTTTTTAGACATTTATGAATTAGCGACCCATTAAGTCGGGTTTACCATTAAACTAACACATTTTAAGATATGCGGACACGAACATAAGAGCATAATGTTATAGCCCAGCGGTTCTCAACCTGTGGGTCGCGACCCCTTTGGGGGTCGCGGGACCCTTTTCCAGGGGTCGCTTAAGACCATCTGAAAACACATATCCTTACAGCTATGAAGTAGCAACGAAAATAATTGTGTGGCTGGGGGTCGCCACGACACGAGAAACTGTATTAAAGGATCGCGGTACTATAAAGGTTGAGAACCACTGTTATAGCCAGTGTGCTGGCGCGATGTTGGTTCACCCGGCTTAGTGTAGATTAGTCCGTCCTGCGAAAGCGAGAGCGTCTCCGAGAAAACTTGGGGGCGCCCACATGAGGGTTGCCTCTTCGCGGCGTGGCAGACTAGTAGGATGGACTCGTCCACCCGAAGCCAAAAACCCCGGCCGACCGCATGACTCCCAACGCAAAGCGAGTACTAACGAAATAACATGATTACATGTTGCCATTAATAGATATGAGGCTCAGGTGGCGGCAAAAAACAAAAACATGCCGATGATTTGAGCTAAGCAGTCCTGAGAAAGCTGCTCCAAGGCTTTTTTCCCCCTAATATAAATAATTTCATATTTAATTATCTTATATCTACAACTGACAGGTTTACGACAGCCCCTTCTCGCGTTCAGTTTGTGTCTGCAGCGGCAAACATCTTCTTACAGGTCTAGGGCATAAAATTTGAAGACGGCTCTGGGTTGGCAAATTGGACCATAATTATTTGGTGAGGTTTCTATTTCAGGAAAGGCTTCATCCACACTGATTACCATTTGAAACTTTGGCAACAGCTAAATACAACTTTACTAATCGTCTGTTAATATTTTTTAAAAAGAAATCCCTTTTGCTTTTAGTATAAGAGATCAAAATTAATACCTGCCAGAAAGTGAGTATTGGCCATACATTTTGCAGATTTTTATGCAATGCGAGCACCGTTCATTTGCAAGAATAAATCAAGCCCCCCCCCCCCCCCCCCCCCCCCCACACCCTAAAAAAAAAACCGCAAATAAGAGGACCACCACGCCAATAAGGACGTCACCACGTTATTTTAGGGAACACCATGTTCAAATAATTCTTCTGAACACGCCTATGCTTCTCGTGGAGACTTCATTCATGAGCAAGTTCTGTTTGTCAGCACCCCCAACGTGACTCCAATCCTTGCTTGGTGCTTGGTTGTAAATCTCAAAAGTCTTTTTTTTTTTTTTTTTAAAATGC